GGCGGGCGCGGCCGGGCGCGAGTGTCGGGCTCGCAGGCGCCGCGCCGGGCCGCCGAGACGGGTGCCCGGGATGAGCCTCACCCGGAAAAGGGGCTTCTACAAGCAGGAGGTCAACAAGACCGCCTGGGAGCTGCCCAAGACCTACGTGTCCCCGACGCACGTCGGCAGCGGGGCCTACGGCGCCGTGTGGTGAGGCCGGGCCGCGGGGGCGCGGGGGCGCGGGGGCGCCGGGCGCTTGGGCCCCGTGGCTGGCCTCTCTCCAGCACCACCTTGACCCGGGTCCGCAAGGCCCAGCGCCCTGCCCGGGGCTCGTCCCGGGCCGCCGTGGAGCTGGGAGCCTCCAGCCGCGGCAGAGCCGGCCCGGGCGCCATCTCACTCTCTCGCTGGGTGGCCGTGCGGGGTCCCTGGGGTTGAAGTAGGACCGGGTCTGGTGGTGACCCCAGATGGCGACCTCGCAGGGACCCCAGAGTTCGTCGGGCAGATCCCCACTGCTACGGAGGAGCACACCGAGGCCCAAGAGGGGAAGGGCCTCCCGCCCTGCGTGGGTCCTGGGGCACCCCGACGTCCCCGCCCCGCTGCCGGGCTCCGCTCGCAGGCTCTGCCTGGCTGTCCCGAGCTCCGGGCGGCGGGCATCCCTGGGCGGGCCCCTGCGCCGGGGAAACCACCCTGCGTCTGGAGGGGGCGCCGCCCGGGAGGAAAGCCGTTGCCTGCTGACCTGCCTGTGCCCCTGCAGCTCCGCCATCGACAAGCGGTCGGGGGAGAAGGTGGCCATCAAGAAGCTGAGCCGGCCCTTCCAGTCGGAGATCTTCGCCAAGCGCGCCTGCCGGGAGCTGCAGCTGCTGAAGCACATGCAGCATGAGAACGTAGGCCGGGGCCGCGGCGATGCGGGAGGGGACCCGAGGGGTCCTGACCAGGCCTCTCCCAGGACGGAGAGCTCAGGACAGGGGCAGGAGGAGGAGAATCTCCTCCCTGCTCCACCCATCGGGCTTCTCAGCTCATTATTAAAAGGAGGGGGTGCCGGGACCTGCCCTGCCCACCTTCCAGGAAAGGTACAAAGAGTATTTCTGGCAGCATGAGCTTTGAGAGGTACAAACTTACCATCTCGTTGTTAAGAGGCAACAGGCACGGAGGAACTTTGTAATTTGTTCCATGTCTAAGAGCTTATGGGACTAGAATCCAGGTTATTGTTGTTTCCACATGTGACCCTGGTAATAGTAACAGTAGCAATAACAGATACTTAATTGAGCACTTACTACGTGGCAGACACTGTTCTAAGAGCTTTGCATAAACTAACTTTTTTCATTCTTACGATATCACATGAGATTAGTGCTACTGCCCACATGTCACACAGGAGGAAACCGAGGCACAGCAAGCCTCCCAGGTTATGTGGTTAGTCAGTAGCGGAGCCGGGATTTGAATCCAGGCAGCCTGAATGCGTGACCGTTACAGACTGTCCTGCCTGACAGAAACAGCCGGGAAAACCAGCAACCCGGCTCTGGGCCAGGCAACCAGGCTTTGCTCCAGGACACCTAGATTGGAGGGCAAACATTCAAACAATGATTTCAAACTATTGTGCACATGTTAAGCCCCATCCCTCTTCAGCAAACCCTTCCCCTGGGGCCTCCAGCCAGGGGTGATCTTGCCCCCGGCTCTGAACCAGTGGCATGGCCGGCAAGGATGGATGTGGCTGGAGACCCAAGGTCAAGGGCAGGGAGCCTGCCAGCTGGAAAGCTCCTTCCGTGTTCCCTCCTTTCCCCCTTTGACCCTCCCCTCATGGTTCCCTGTTACCACTTGAGTTGAGAGTGGGTTTGTGCTGCTTGCCCTGAACACCAGACTTGGGAGCAGTGAGCACACG